CCTCTCTAACACACCACGCAAACACTCCCCGGGCGCTCAACCAAGCCCTTCAAAAAGAACGTTACTGACTTCATAAAATTTGAGAACACTTCACTGGTCGCGCCTACAATTTCTCCCACGGGGTCATTCCCCCTACCTTCCATCCACCCGGAATCTGCTCTCGCCGCACAGGCCCTTCTCACTTCGCCATTCGCTCCTCCACCACACCCACACCACCACACCACACACACCACCACCACCACCCACACACCACACACACCACCACCACACCACACCACACACCACACACACCACACACACACACACCACACACACCAACACCACCACACACACACACACCACCACCACACCACACCACCACACACCACACACAACCACACCACCACACAACACACCACACACAACACACACACACACACCACACACACAACACCACAGCAGAGTAACCAAAGCATAACCTCCTCAATGTCCTGCTGCACGCCATGTACTCTCTATCTCCAACGCTGTGGGTCGGTGGTGGAGCTCAGCGGACTGGTCTCCCCTGGGCAAGTAATGAATCATTCCAGTCGGGTTCTTAGTATTAAGCATATTCCCACGAATGAAGAACACCTCATTCACCACAGTCCGGGCAGTTCCTCTTCACAGCTCATCCCCACATTTTAACGGAAACTACTGCCACCCATGGATTCACCATTCACTCCCCACCTTTGAAACCCTGCCACCCACAACATCACCGCACCGCAATATCCAAAACACCTGAGAGTCCACAGGACCACCCACGGGGACACACACACATCGCACTCCCCAACAAACATTCACATCGCACGCAACCAGCACATCGCAGCACAGGGGAGGGGCACAGCACACACCACGCAACTCACCTGTCATACTCCAAATGTAACGGACACACAAAACTTACAAAAAGCAAAATCAATCCACTTATCGTTCCGACTTGATTAACGTGATTACACCCACCACCTCACATCCAACAGCCTTTTAAAAGTCAAATCAGCAATCTTTCAGGCCCATCCCACCGGCATAAGCGATGGCTTATGCACACACACTCCCCCCACGTCGTAAGCCCACAGTAATACTGGGCTGGAGCCGCCGGCACTAATTTAAAAGCGGCGGCTCTTTAATTTTGTGAGCGCGCTCAGCAGTTACTCGTGGGTTACGAGAGGCACAGATGAGCTCTGCTCCCACCTCAGACATTGGTGTTCCCCCACCACTACAGAACTGGCTGGAAAGCGGGCCTAAGCGCATGGCCTGTGTCACCAGTCTTCACTGTAGGTCCCAATGCTAATGGTTTTGGGTAGATCCCCTTTATTAAATTTATCTCGCCATCCATAGTCTCTAAATTAGTTATTTAACGTATATACTGATATTTACTCGCTGGTCTCATCGTCTCATTATATAACGGCAATGACAAAAAGCAGCAGGAGAGGCAGCCATAACCTCTGCCGCACTGAAGGGGGCGCACGTGAGCCCACAGGTTCTTGTTGCTACTGTTATTCTACGCAGAGACGGTAGACACAAACAACAAACTAGACTTTTGAAACTACAGGAAGATAAGGAGGACTTTTACAAAAAACGAATAGAGATTGTTGTCCAGAAGGAGAGCACGGACTTAATCTTCAAGTCAAGGTAAGACCAAAATTGTAATACAAATGGGATCTTACTAAGAAAGAACAATCCAATATTTAGATTTTGGGTATCCTTTTGTTGAACGGTCTGTTTAAAATGAATCGAAGCATCAGACTAAAAAAGCTTTTGAAAATAACCGAATATTTTGATTAAGGTGAAAATATAATATTTGTAAATCTGACTCTAAAAGAGTCAGTGCCTCACCAGCCATGAAGCTCACCGCACGTCACTGATGAGCACACACCCACACACAAAATGAGCAACACTTTTACAAATGTACCCCCACCACAGTTCGCCACGGGAGTGTGATGTATATATTTATCGTCACGGAGAAACACTGCACCAAGCGTAGAGGCAGTGAAGCTAAATTACTTCAAACAGTGCTGCTCTCACACTGCTGACCGCAACTCTAACCACACATATACTCCACATGTTCTCGCTACTTCTTTCCCCCCCCACAGAGTAGATTTGCAGACCTAGGGCTGCATTAAGCAATATTCCACAACTAGAGTGCAGGAAGTTAGCTAACCCTAAACAACTGAAGTTATTTTCAGTTTTTACAGATTGTCAATGTTTGCACTGCATTGCTACAACAAAAGACTATTTTCGCCAAAATCTTTCCCTCATAAAACCTCACAGTTATACACACGCAAACTTCCCACAGCCCAAGTCAATGAAATCAAATATCTGTCAAGTTTGTTTGACCCTCGACTGAGGTCATACCAACAAAACAAAAACAAAATCACAAATGTTGCTATAATGAGTAATAAGTGTTGTTTCTCAAAGCTATGAAAGCACTATCATCATTCGGGTTTCACATTTTTGGGGAGCCATATTTAGAGCCAGAGACAAAATAAATAACTCATTACGCACTAACTCTTGGGACAATATAACTTGAACTTATTGTTGAAATCGGTGAAGTGCCCCTTTATAATTACAGGCAGTCAGTTGATTTAGTATTTAAGTCACAATATATGTGAGAGTTCACCACAGTGAGTACATCTCTATTAAAGTGCCTTTAAGCTAACCAAATAACCGTTTGCCTGTAAAGGTAATGTCTTAAAAGGCCCGTGGTTCATTGCTGTTTTCATTTAAATGTTGCCTTGAGCTTTACTTCAAGCAATCCCTTCCTTCATGAACCATTTGGATCATGTTTGCCTGCCATGCTGCTTAAACTCCCAGCAGAGAGCTACATGGAAACAGGCAGGGTGGCATCTACAGTCTGCGAGCTTTGTTGTAATTTAACAATGCTCGTCAGAAGGCCCATTCCACTCAGCAAGTAACCGTTATGCGTCTGTGAGACATTTATCTCATTGCCTGCTCACTCATGTGATCATTACATTACATTGCATTTAGCTGACGCTTTTATCCAAAGTGACTTACAGTAAGTGCGTTCGACCAACAAAATACAAACTTGAAGAAAACAGAATCATATAAGTACATCAGGTTCCATAGAGCCAAAACATTTTAAGTGCTACTCAACTGGCTTTAGATAAGCCAGTCCTTTGATGGTATATAAGTGCTTTGTTCGTATGTAAGTGCTTAGTTAGTATATGAGTGCTTAGTTAGTTAGTATATAAGTGCTTTTTTTTTTTATCAGTGAATACAATCTCATTATGATTAGTTAGAAAAATAAAGCTGTATTAGGTTACAGGTGAAACGTGTCCAAAACTAGACTTCTTTTATCTTGAACTGGTGTTTAGAAGGTACACATTGACTGAATCGATCTAATGAGAAGAATAATACGTTATGTACAGTCAGCCGAAGTCCAGAGGCCTTTTCTTTATTAAATATGATAGATTTAACACAGCATGACCTGAACGTTTAAATGGCACCTATCTCAGTATAAAGAGTGCCTACAGACTTTAGTATACAGAGGGCAAAGTAGCAATATATTGGTGAACTGTTGTATGTAAGATGGAAATGAATTAAACAAATGAAAACAATTACCTCAATAGTTGTACAAGAGTTCTACATTATAAAATAACTGCCCAAAATGTAACTTCTTGTCCATAGGAAAATCAATTAAAGTAAACGTATTTTCTTCCATTCCAAGTAAGGACATAATTGTACATTTATGCTTCAAGTCATGTGGCATTCCTACCTCATGATGCATATGCGTCATGCTGTTGAAGTTGAATTTGAAGGAGGTCACAGAGAGTGTTCCACAAAGCAAGGCACTGTGAAAGATGGAAAGAACAAAGAGTTACTTCTGATTTGATTTTCTTAACAACGTGGTCCGCAGTTGGAGCTGCAGCAGTGGTTCATGGAGGAAACTGAGGTACTTGAAAACCATTAGTGGCTGATTGGAGCTATTTGCTGGAAAAACCTAACACTCAATCTTTAAGTAATTCGGAACAATGTGAACATACAGACATGAAACACAAGAGTTTAGATTCAGTAGAACTGTGCTGATAACAAATGCATTTAGAAATAATAGACCAAAAAGATGCTCCGTATGAGTCCACTCCAGAATGGGCCGGGGTATCGTCAAGTAAACCAGGGATTTCGTTGCACTTTCAAGGGTACGTTGCATACTAGGATTCAGCATGAATGGTTCATCAATGGTTGCTATTCCCAAGATGTTGATTTTTTTCCGAAGGGGTTAGGCGGAGTGTCAGAATTTAAAACCCCCTAGGGCCAAATACTTTAAAGGCAATAATATTTGATGATGTCTGTCAATCAGCCTTTATTGGTTCTTCTACCCCCAAACATCAATATATGCAACTTTAACTGTGTGATAAACTGTCCATAACCAGACTTTTATCCTTCTCTGTGGCGAGAGGGTAAAATATAAAAAGCTGAGGTGAAAGACTGTGGACAGAAATGAACCATGATACAGGCTGTTAAACAACATTTTCTGTGTACATCTATCGATTCCTCTGGACACATCGTCTGTGATGTTCCCGTCAAAGTATTTTCCAGGACTCTGCTCACCAAACTTCCTTTCTTCAGCTCTTTAAGATCATATTTGCCTATGCTAACCGAAATGTTTGCAATAACAGCTTTCAGTTGCAAAGCAAACTTCAACACCCTGCTGTTCCTGCCAAGAGAACTGATTCAAAGGTCGACTTATCTGGAAACTCAATGCTAGCTGGCGTGTACAAAAACTATAGAAGTCGTCTTTTTTCCGCCAAGAAAAAAATTGAAACCTTTATTCTGTGAACAAGTTTGCAGCGACAGATAATGCAGACTAATGCTCCCGGCTTTTGATTGAGGGATTGCCAGCCTGTGAGTGGGATATCAGATGGAGTTTCAAACTGAATCCTGTGAGCAGCACAGAGATACGCTGGTTTTGAAACATAGATCCCATGACATGTTAATACATCAAGTAACGTTTGGTACATCTGGCTTTTGATGTGGAGCTGATCGGCCTTTTTTGTCACTAATCACAGCAATCCACTTAAAAAAAACAAAGGTCCCAAAAAGTTCCACTGTCGTTCTTTTCTCTTATTTTTGGCTTGATCAAATAATTTCCATATTATGTTTTTTTTCTAACAATGCCCATGGGCTCCATTAAAACACAGCCACTAAAGTGCGAGTGGAGGATTAGAATATAATCTCCGACTCCTTGCAACTTCTGTGCAGTGCTATCATTTCCAGCCGCACAGGAAAGGGCTTTTTTTTTTACTGTTGGTGGCGGGCCAAATCCATTGTGTTTCCATTTTTCAACCTCTCCTGCTGCCCTTATCCAATTCAGAGCTTATGATTGTAATACTAAAACAGAGCGACTTGTCAAACCAGAAACAGCAATGATGAATGCACCGCTGCTCTGCGTGCCTGTTTGTTTTGGGGGAGGGGGGCAGAATTGAATTTTATGCTTAGTTGTTAAGGTGCATTTTCTTGACCGCGGCTGCTCTGCTGTACTCCAGCAGGCAGCATTGATTAAATGGAATAGTTCTGTTATCTGGATAAAAAGGGGAGAAACCTGAGGGCGATAGTGGGCAAGGGAAAATAATGAGTTCTTTCATCTTGGCAGTGAGGGCCTCTGCGTCTTGCAGACTTCCCAGGGAGATGTACACAGCTTAAGGAAACATTTAATTAGAAAATGTCAAACTTGTGTCTGAGCGCTATGTGTGCAGAATAATAACATTTATGATGTGAATATGACAGCACATTTCCTTTCAGCCGCTTTCACAATTCAAAGACATGCAATCAAGTGATTCTGAAGAGGGAGAGAAAAGAATTAGCCGCCTACGTTACTGCCACCGCTCTGAAGAAGAAGAGGAGGAGGCGGGGGGTACATGGCACTGGATTTTTAAATGCATTGCATATTGTTTCAGACAATATGTAGTGTAGGGCTGCTCAATTAATCCTATTTTAATCGCGATTACGATGATGGCTTGCAACGATTACGAAAACAATGTAATCGAAATAAAACGATTATTTTTTTAGGGTAATCCACTTTTAAAAACATACTGTTCACATTTTTTTTCTCCAATAAATGGATGTTTTCAAAGTCAATGAATAATCGCATTTTATTTAGTCATGTTTTGTTGGCAATTATTGTACATTTGGTTTTGCGTACCATGAGCGGGACAAATAAAAATCAAATGAAATATAATAATCGCAATTACAATTATTGACCCAAATAATCGAGATTATGATTTTTGCCATAATCGAGCAGCCCTAATATAGTGAT